AGTAGGCAGTAGGTGCATCGGTTACGCTGTGGGACCGTTGCCGCAACGCGTCGCTCAAGCCCCCATCCCAACCCTCCCCCGCCTCCGCCCTTCCCAATCGGCGGCCTCTCCTATGTGTTTGTGTTTCATTTCATGCGATGAGGTCTCTTAACGCAACGACAATGTTGGAAGAGGAGGGCAAGCGTGGGGGACTGGTGATTAGTTGATGTTAAATTGCAAGTTTTGATCTCTCTTTCACTCATCCACTTCCATAACATCAATTCGTCCTCTTCCACTCAATTTCAGCGTTCTCCATTTACTTCAACCCTTTCATTCAAGCTCATCTACCGATTTACGCATTGTTTCTCTAGTAGGCGATTTTCCAACTGTCATGCGTCCGTCTTTGATTTATTTACCCACACTGCATATTCATCACCTGTGGATTTGTTCGTTGTTCAAGCACCCAATCATCATCTATGCCCAACCCCTTCATTCATCTACTTGACCTGTCTACCTCCGACCCATTAAACCGCCCGAAAATTACTTTATATTTTTTGCTTATTTACTCACCTTTGCCTTTACCCTTATTTCAGATCTGGGCAAGAGGGACTTTCTCACTACCTCTCTCCACCTCAACGCAAATGTCATCGTACGCGGCAGAAGCGGTCTAGTGTTGTCGTCGTCGTCGTCGTTGTCGTCGCCGTCATTGTCTCATTGTCTCACGTGCGCACAATCGGTCGAAGCGACCCTTGACTCTCTCCACCTTCGCAGCGTCTTTGGCTGCTCTTTAGAAGGCCAGCACTTTGAGCTCTGCTGGGTTCGTTGAGTCGTCGATTGGCCTGTCAGTTGACTACTCCATTGTTTTCTATTCCTACTTGCTAATCACTCACTGTATCATTCTGCCCACATGGAAAGCGAAGAGGTGGGAGTAATGTAGCATAAAGGCTTTACTTAATCTTACAATCATGCTGCAGGGCGTGGGGATGGAAAAGAAGGGGCAGGGTGTGGAGGGGTGGGGAGGACAAAAGCGGGGATTGAATCCTAACCTCGGAAACAGCAGAAAATCGGCCGAAGTCCTTTCTTGCTGCTCTTTCTACTTTTAGGTTGGGGTTTTGGCTCTGAAAGAGACAAAAACGAGAAGTCATGAGAAGACGACATTGGTATTGTAGAAGTAGGCGAGAGAGTGTTTGAGCACAAGCAACTTACGGAGTGGATGGGGGAACCTACTTTGCCATCGTCGCCGCGCTGAAGGAGAGAAAAACGAAACGAATGTTAATAATGCTGACGCTGATACTACTGAAGGAAGCATACGCCTGCAACTTAGCTGTTTTGCAGTGACGGTAACGCTTATAC